GGCCTCAATCCCGGCGGCGAGGAGGAGGAGGAGGAGTCGGAGCAGCATAGTCTCCTGCACTGCCGCCAGATATGGCTCTTTCTACCCCTCTCCCCATACACATTAACGCATATAATCTGACCTGATTGATATGCACTACGTCATTTTATCTGTCCATATTCTCCACACTCCATTTGTGTGAATTAATTTATTTCTTTTAATATGCGCATGTTTTTCAATGAGCTAATTAAAACGTAAATGCGTTAGTTTGATGAGAATTAGTCAAAAGCAGATGTATGGTCGTTAACGAGTCTCCCGAAACCTTTTACGGGTTGATGCCCAATTCTAACCTGAAAAAGCAGACCTCTGCTTGACGGCGAATCAGAAAGTGAACAGTTTTATAAATAATTATTTGGCGATTCAGGATGGGTTTGCATGGGAATGTATGCAGCGAGTTTTTTGCAATGCAGCCTACTTCCGTGAACAGATGCAGAAGGATGTCTGAATGCATTTTCGTAAATATTAACTCAGTTTCGTACAGCTGCAGAAGAAACCCATGAAATTGAATTTAAGAAGAAAAAAGAGTTGATCACTAGAATGAGAAATTGTTTGGCCTGATGTTTCTGATTTTCGTCTGAGCCCAGTACCGGCGACATTTGCAGATAAGTATACCAGAGGCACAAGGTGCGCATTGTTTATGGAAGCCAAAACATGCATACAACAAATAGTAGTATGCGTGCTAATCACTGAGAGTCGACAGACTGGTGGACACTCTATTGCCTCATTAACTGATGGCGGGAAACACGTATACGTAAACGCATAAGGCCCCCTTTAACAAAACTGACACCAAATCGTCCAACATGGTTGGAGCAGTCGATCAATTCTCAGCCAGACAGAGGCGAGAGACAAGACAATGAACCTTATCTCACATCACGTGTCTTTGTTCCTCATTGTTAACAGGTCGAGCCAGGTGCTTTCTAAATCGAACGCACTGCGCTAGAAGAAATGAAGACCAGTAAAGACCTAGTTATCGTGCCTGCGGACAAGCGGCGTTCTGCTGCTTAGTGGACAGAGCAGACAACTGTAGGAAAGCCAAACGCTGAGGCGGAAAATAAGTTCAAGAGTTTTGACACAGTAGAACGCAGGGGCAATATCGCCGACCGAATAATGCATGGTGAGAGCCCAACAAATGGCATTAATCCCATTCTATGTTCTCCCAAATGTATACAAATATGGGGCTCCTTCGGCCCATTATGTAATGCAAAGGTTCCCCAACCTACGTACTAAACATTTGACTGCTTCTACCCACAAAAGGTCTGACCGCTGATTTGCGTATCACATCAAACTAGCCAACAAAATTATAGTGGTGAGTTTCTTGCTAAGCGGAGTCATTTTATCCTTTAAGTTGATGTTAACGTTTACTTCTATGACACCGGATTTGACATTCTAGACTACAGAATTATCCTTGGATAAAAATATAATAACACGGACCATCCTCATGGAAAGGCTAAAATCCTCCCAAGCTTTAAGTCGTCTCTTAATACGTACTTCACATGTGCTGGAACAGTCTACTAGCGGGAATGAGATAAGTTAATGACTTCGTCGATTTTGGGAATCATATCTGAGGCGCTGCCAAAACGGTTAAAGTCGTTATCCTTTCGACAAAAACAGACCTAAATTCTAGGTGCCGTATTCAGAGGATATCGTCCTTGTCATTAAACCCTATCACGTGCTGCAATCTGAAGAACATCAGAAGCAGCAGATGCGATTCCCTGAGCAGGGAGTTTTATTGCCCTGACGTTTAGGATTTTCAGTCAGAGACAGTCGCAGATAACGGTAGTGTAGTATGTATAGTATACTCACCGTGG